GGTATTCATATTTGTTGAACAGTCTGTCGATTTCTTTTGCCAAGCTCTCTAAAGTGTAATGCCCTGGGGGAATTTTAGCAACTGATAAACCTTGAGGGCTATCGGGGTTACCCAAGGCCGCGCTTCCTTCTTTTTCAAGATTATGCCAGCTATTGTACAAACTGCAAGAGAGGAGTTTCATGAAATGTACCTTCGGGATCGGCTCCTCGAAGTACACAGTTTCTCCGTTATTTTGCGCGACAATCGTAAGTACAACCATTTCTCTTCTTCGAAGAAGATATATTGAACAAATATAACATATTCAAAATGAATGCTTACACAAGTGGAAGCGACGAGTTCAAAGAATTTCAAAAATGGGCGCAAAGGCCAGATACGAAAGCCAGAGAAGCCGCGGCCCAGACAAGCGCGTGGACCGCATTCACAAAGAAGTTCCCGAATGCTGATAAAAACCAATTCGTGGCACAAAATAAATATTGATGAAAAGCGCAACATCACAGCAGAAATGTTTTTCAAAGCAGGGGAGGGGGCGCTTCAAAGCGTGTTTGGTTCAGGCAGGCGCTCTTGGAGTCAGTCAACGAAAGCCGCGCTCGGTCTGATGGGCGTAGCGTACTTTCCCTATCAACTGTCGCCAATGAAAACCAAAACAGCACTGCCAATCCCAGCCGTAGATTTCACAAAAGCGGCGTCCAGCCTGAAAAAAATATTTAACCAAACCATAAATATCTACGTGACCCCAGACATCTTCTTCGTGACAAAATTCCGCGACATATTCCAAAAAGCCTTTCTCAAACACATCACTGAGACAGAATCGATAGCCTGGCTGAGCTGTCCTAAAATGAAATATTGGCCTCAGCAACGAAACTTCGCTGCAGGAGTTTGTTAATGATTTCAGTTGTTTGTGATTATCTGTAGTTGTGTACAATACGCTATGAGCAGCCTCTCTTGCGGCAAAATATTAAATAGAAATATAATAAAATAAAAATGCGACACAATGATGAGCTCACAGTTGGGAATCATCATGGCTTGATAATGTTTAAACTTCGGCAAATATTTTAGATTCAAGAGTCATTTTCATGCCGAATCACTTACTACTATTTTATCGAGGAAAGAAGACCGCCAATTTGTTTTGAGAGACGGAAGAAACATGAGAAAAATCCATTTATAGAACGAGGAAAGGAAAGGGGTAATACTGGTTGATATGCCGTTCGAGGAAAAAAGGGCGCCATCTTGTTTTAAAATGTAAAATGGAATGTAATGTAAA